GAAAGAAGGAAAACAAACTTGCCTGCTACACTCACATACCTTCCCTTAGAAAAGTCCAGGGTTGTGCCAGAGGCATGAACCTCCCTCATCGAATATTCATAGATTGCTTAACAACAATACACTTATAAGACATGAAAGGAAAAATGATGATGTTTTTCTCCAAAGTTTCTAGAGAACAGATCCCAGGCAGAAACAGCAACAGCTGTGTAGGCACCTGATATTGGCGAAAGATGACTGTCAGTTGTACAAAACACTGTCCAACTGCTAAGGTGAACTTAAAATAGGCTAAGAGATAGTACATTTAGATAATATTCTATGAGATTGTCCGGCAGTTCATTTTTCCTATTCTTCTTCATGCGACCTGTCGTTTCTTCAACACAATTTTAAAAGAGCATATACTTTTTTGTAAGAGAGTTCAGAATTTAGTTTTTATTGCTCTTTTTTTTTTTTTTTTTTTTTTTTTTTTTTTTTGCCATTCTGTCCAACAGTGAGAAAATTCTGAGGCATGTGCTACACATTATTTTTAGACTGTCTCAAATGGCATTAAGCCCTAGTTTTCAAGAGTGGTGACCACCTCAATAATATATCCTTTATTGACAACTCTCTCCTTTCTTGGCTCACTTTCTCTACTCCCTTCTTGTGATATCCAGGGTTGCCACTCAAATAAACCACCTGAGCCCAAGTATTTTTTCCTCAGTTTGTGATTTTAAGAGGACCCAAGCTAACACAATAACTTACTTAGTAGCAAGCAGTAAAAATAATAGTAAAAATATATAATTTGAATATAATTAACAAATGTTGATATAACTGAAATATGTAGAATACTGTATCCAGAAACTGCAAAATACAAACAACGTTTTTGAAAAATGCATTTTTACATTTCCAAACAATAGGGTATTTTTCTCCATCTTATTGATTTCTAGGTTACTTTCATTCTGATTAGAGAATGTATGCTTAAGCATTAAAATGACCATATTGCCCAAAGCAACCTACAGATTCAACACTATCCCTATCAAACTACCAATGTTATTTTTCACAGAACTAGAAAAAAAAACTATTCTAAAATTCATATGGAACCAAAAAAAAGAGCCCAAATAGCCAAAGCTATCCTATACAAAAAGAACAAAGCCAGAAGCATCACATTACCTGACTTCAAACTATACTATAAGGCTACAGTAACCAAAACAGTGTGATACCGGTACAAAAACAAACACACAGACCAATGGAACAGAATAGAAAACCCAGAAATAAAGCCATACACCTACCACCATCTTATCTTTGACAAAGTAAAAAAATAATAATAATAAGCAAGAGGGAGAGGAATCTCTATTCAATAAATGGTGCTGGGATAGCTGGCTATTCATACGCAGAAGAACGAAACTGGACCCATACCTTTCACCATATACAAAAATTAACTCAAGATGGATTAAAGATTTAGGTGTAGATTTCAAACTATAAGAATACTAAGAGAAAACCTAGGAAATACCATTCTGGACATCAACCTTGGGAAACAATTTATGACTAAGTCCTCAAAAGCAATGGCAACAAAAACAAAAATTTACAAGTGGGACCTAATTAAACCAAATAGCTTCTTTTAGCAAAATAAACTATCAACAGAGAAAACAAATAGGAGAAAATATTTGTAAGCTATGCATCTGACAAAAGTGTAATATCCAGAACCTGTAAGGAACTTAAACAATTCAACAAGAAAAACACAAATAACTGCATTTTTAAAATGGGCGAAAGACCTGAATAGACACTTCTCAGAAGAGACATACAAGTGGCCAACAAACATATGAAAAAGTGCTACCCATCACTAATCCTCAGAGAAATACAAATCAAACCATAATGAGATACTGTCTCACACCAGTCTGAATGATTATCATTAAAAGGTCAAAATACAACAGATGCTGCCAAGGCTCTGGAGAAAAGGGAAAGCTCATACACTGCTGGTAGGAATGTAAATTAGTTAAGCCACTTTGGAAAGCAGTTTGGAGATTTCTCAAATAACTGAAAACATAACTACCATTTGATCCAGCAATCCTGTTACTGGGTATATATCCGAAAGAAAACAGAGTATTCTACCAAAAAGACACATGCACTTGCATGTTTGCAGCACTATGCATAACAGCAAAGACATGGAATCAAGTCATGTATCCATCAATGGTGTATTTGATAAAGAAAATATGGTACATATGCACCATGGAATACTATGCAACCATAAAAAAGAATGAAATCATGTCCTTTGCAACAACATGGATGCAACTGGAGGCCATTATCTTAAGTGAATTAATAAAAGGAACAGAAAACCCAATACCACGTGTACTCACTTATAAGAGGGAGCTAGACATTGGGCTCTCTTGGGCATTAAAATGGCAGTAATAAAAAATGAATACTACTGAGGGCAGAGGGAGGAGAACAAAGATTGAAAAACTAACTATTGGGTACTATGCTCAGTATCTGGGTGATGAGATCATTCATACCTCAAACCTCAGCAATACACAATATACCCAAGTAACAAACCTGCACATGCACTCCCTGAATCTAAAATAAGAGCTGAAAATAATTAAAGTTAAAAATAAAATGAAATATTCTGTGACTTACTTTATAGCCCAGCATATGATCAATTTTGGTAAATGTTCCATGAGATACAACTTTAACAAGTTGCATTTTGATGAGTAAATGTAGTGTGGCATTCTGGATGGAATTCTGGAATAGAAAAAAAAAATTGGGTAAAAACTAAGGAAATTTGAATAAAGTATGCACTTTACTAATAATGTATCAATATTGGTTCATTATTTATACCAATGTAACATAATCATATAAGATATTAATAATAGAGAAAGCTGGGTATGAACATATGGAAACTTTGTAACATCTTCACTATTTTTTCTCACAATTTTAGCAAATCTAAAAGTGTCCTTGGCCAGTCGCAGTGGCTTATGCCTGTAACCCCAGCACTTTGGGCCGAGGTGGGCAGAACACTTGAGCTCAGGAGTTCGAGACCAGCCTGGCCAACATGGTGAAATCCCACCTCTACTAAAAATACAAAAATTAACTGGGTGTGATGGCACACACTTGTAGTCCCAGCTACTCCAGAGGCTGAGGCAGGATAATCACTTGAACTCAGAAGGCGGAGGTTGTAGTGAGCCAAGATTGCACAACTGCAATCCAGCCTGACAGAGCTAGACTCCGTCTTAATCAATCAATTAATAATGTTTAAAAAATAGTTTATTTTGAGACACAATTTGTACTATTTTATTAAGACATAATATTTTACATAGAGTAAATGTGGTATTTTGTTATTAATACATGCACAGAATGTGTAATGACCAAGTCAGGACATTTGGGATATCCATTATCTTGAGTATTTACCATTTTTATGTGTTGGGAACATTTCAAGTCCTCTCTTCTCCTACTTTGAAACATAGAATATATTGTTGTTAACTACAGTCATTCTACTCTGCTACTGAATATTAAAACTTACATCTTATATCTAATTGTGGGTTTGTGCCCATTAACCAACTTTTCTTCATCTCCCCTCCTACCCAAACATCCTTCTCAGCCTCTAGTATCTATCATTCTATTCTCTAGCTCCATGAGATAAACTTTTAAATTTTCCACATATGAATGAGAACATGCAATATTTGTCTTTTTGTGGCTGGTTTATTTTACTTAACACAAGGACCTACAGTTCTACACGTGTTGCTACAAATGGCATAATTTTATTCTTTTATATGGCCGAATAGTATTCCATTGTGTGTATATACCACATTTTCTTTATCCATTCATTCATTGGTGGACACAGTTTGATTCCATATCTTTTTTTTTGTGACTAGTGCCACAATAAACATGCAAATGCAGGTATCCTGTTGATATATTGATTGCTTTCCCTTGGGATAAATATCCAGTTGTGGGATTACTGAATCATATGGTAGTTCTATTTTTAGATTCTTGAGAAATCTCCATACTGTTTCCATAGTGGTTGCACAAATTTGCATTCCCACCAATAGTATAAAAGACTTCTCTTTTTTCCACATTCTCATCACTTATGTTTTGTCTTTTAAATATTAGCCATTCTGACTGGGGTGAGATGATATATCATTGTGGTTTTGATACAGTTCCCTAATGGTTAGTGATGTTGAGCATTCTTTCATATACCTATTGGCCATTTGTATGTCTTCTTTTGAGAAATGTATGTTTATGTCCTTTGTTCATTTTTGTAATAGGATTGTCTTTTTTACTGTTGAGTTGTTTGAGTCCCTTATATATTCTGGATATTAGGCCTTTGTCAGATTAATAGTTTGCAATTATTTTATCCCATTTAATAGGTTGCCTCTTTGTAGACTGTTTTTGTTTGTTTTGCTTTCAAGAAGCCTTACAGTTTTAGCTTAATATAGCCCCATTTGTCTATTTTTGTTTTTGTTGCCTGTGCTTTTGAGGTATTAACCATAAAATGTTTGCCTAGATCGATGTCCTGAAGTACTTCCCCTATGTTTTCCTCTAGTAGATGTACAGTTTTGGGGTCTTATATATAAGTCTTGAATTTATCTTGAGTTGATTTTTGTATATGATGAGAGACATAGGTCCAGTTTCATTCTTCTGGTTATGAATAATGAATTTTCCTGACCCCATTTATTCAAGAGGGTTTCCTTTCCCCAATATATGCACGTGACAACTTTGTTGAAAATCAGGCTATAGGTATGTGGCTTTATTTCTGGGTTCTCTATTCTGTTCCATTAGTTGATGTGTCTATTTTTATACCTATATCATGCTGTTATGGTGACCATAGCCTTGCGATATATTTTGAAGTCAGGTAGTGTGGTACCTCTAGCTTTGTTCTTTTTGCTCAGGATTGTTTGTCTATTTGGCTTCTTTTATGGGGTCCATGCAAATTTTAAGAATTTTTTTCTAATTATGTGAAAAATGATGTTAGTATTTTGCTAGACATTATCTTGAATCTGTATACTGTTTGGCGCAGTATGGTCATTTTAATGATATAAATTATTCAAATCCATGAAAATGAGATGTATTCCCATTTGTTTGTATCTACTTCAGTTCCTTTTATCAGTGTTTTGTGGTTTATCTTGTAGAGGTCTTCCATCTACCTGGTTGAATTTATTCCTAGGTATTTATTTTAGCTATTATAAATGGGATTATCTTCTTGATTTCTTTCTTAGCTCATTATTGATATATAGAAATGCTGTTGTTTTTTTGCATTGATTCTGTATTGAAGTTAATCTCTCCCTTTAGATCTAATAATACTTGCTTTATATATCTGGGTGCCCTAATGTTGGGCTCATGTGTGTTTAGAATTGCTATGTCCTCTTGCTGAATTGGTCTCTGCATTACACAATGACCTTCTTTATTTCTTTTTATGTTTTTGAATTAAAGTCTGATTTATCTGATATAAGTATAGCTATTTCTGCTCTTTTTTGGTTTTCAATTGCATGAAATATCTTTTTCCATCTACTTACTTAAAGTATATATATGTCTTTACAGGTGAGATTAATTTCTTACAAGTAGCATGTACTTGGGTTGTTTCATCATCCATTCAGCCAGTCTGTATCTTTTAAGTGGAATGTTTAATCTATTTACATTCAAGGTTATTATTGCTATGTGAGGGCTTATTTCTGATATTTATTAATTTATTTCTGCTTGTTTTGTATATCTTACTCTTATGGTTTATCATTGCGGTTTGGTGGTCTTCTGTAGTGGTAACATTTGAATCTTTTCTTTGTGTGTTTCCTTTACCAGTAGGTTTCATATTTTTGTCTATTTTCATAATAACAGATACCTTTTTTTTTTACTTCTAGTCGTAGGACTCCCTTAAGCATTTATTGTAGACCTAGTCCAGTGCTGATTAATTCCCTCAGCTTTTGCTTGTCTGGGAAAGACTTTATTTCTCCTTAATTTACTTCTCCTTTGCTGGGTATAGTATTCTTGGTTAGCAATTTTGTTTTGTTTTGTTTTTGTTTTTCCTTTTAGCACTTTGAATATATCTACCCATTTTCTCCTGGCCCATAAAGTTTCTGCAGAGAAATCTGCTATTAGTTTGATGGATGGTCCTTTATAAGCAATTAGACACTTTTCTCACACTGTTTTTAGAATTCTCTCTTTGTCTTTAAATTTTGATAGTTTGACTATAATATGCCACAGAGAAGAACTTTTGAATTATATCTCTCTGAGGATCTCCAAGCTTCCTATATCTCAATGTCTGAATCTCTTGTCAGATCTGCGAAGTTTTCAACTGTTATTTCATTCAATAGGTTTCTTTAACCATTTCATTTTCCCTTTGCCTTCTGAAACACAGAAGTTTAACTATATGTCTGCTTATGGTGTTTCATATGTTACATAGCTTTTGTTCACTTGTAAAATTCTTGTTTCTTTATTTTCCTCTAACTAGATGATTTCAAAAGACCTCTCATCAAGTTCTGAAATGCTTTCTTCTGCTTGATCTGGTCTACTATTGAAGCTTTTTGAGTTTATTTTGTATTTCGTTCAATGAATTTTTCAGTTCCGGAATTTCTGTTTCAGTTTTATAATACCTATCTTCTTTGGCAAATTTCTCATTCATATCCTAAATGTTTTTCTAATTGCTTTGTATTGCTTTCCTGTATTATCTTGAATTTCACTGAGCTTTTAAAAATAAATATTTTATTTTTTTCCATGATTTTGTAAATTGATTTTTGATTGGAGTCTATTCCTGAATAATTATTGTGTTCCTTTGGGGATGTCATATTTCCTTGCTTTTTCATGTTTCTTGTGTCCTTACACTGATATCTAAGCAGCAGGTCTAACAATCACTTCTTTCAATTTTTTAAATTTACTTCCATAGGGGAGGACTTTTCCCTGAAGATATAATGTTGATAGTGTAGGGCACTTTGGCTTTGATTCTGGGTGTGTGCAGTAGTGTGATCGCCACATGATTTCCTCAGCTATAAAGAAGGTCAATGGTGTCTGTCGTTTCCTCAGTGGTTTATGGCACAGCTGTTAGTGAAGGCTGTAGTGAAGTTTACTTGGGACCAGGATGCCAGGTGAGCCAGTCTTTGGGCCCCATAGTGGCAGTGATGGTAGGCCATGCATGTTTCTTTGGGCCCCAGGGTGGTATATTATGCTGGCATTGGTGTTAGCATGTCAAGGCAGGCCAATTCTAGAGCCTCAAAGTGGGTTGCTCAGGTGCTTGGAATGGGAGCAGCGGGCTGGGTGGTTGGGTGGGTCCTCAGGCCCCTGTGCAACAGGCATGGTGTGGGTGATGGCAATAACAGTGAAGAGACAACCTCTGGGTCCCCAGTTCTCCATTTTGGTGTTGGCAGTGGTTGCAATGGGCTGGATGGGCCATTCCCCAGGCCTGCAGGTGGTGTGTAGGGGTGGGTGTCAGCTGTGGTAGTAGCAGCAGGTTGGGCGGGCTTGACCTTAGGAACTCAAGAGGAATGCTCAGGTGCCAATGGTAGCAAACTGGGCTGAACAACCTCAGGCCTCAGATGACAGGCTTGTGTACTGGTGGGAGTAAAGCTGGGCTGGGCGAACCTGTCCTTAGACAACCTGATTGTGCACTCAGGCACTGGCTGTGGTAGGCAGGTGTGGGGTGATTTCTAAACCACTGGAAGAATTCTCAGGTAGGGGCAGCAGAGTCTATACTGGAGCGCTGTTTCTGGGGAGGGAGGGGTTGCTTTCAGTGGAAGCAGCCATAAGCAGACAGCTAAATG